CTTGGACAGAAATCCCACAGATTCAAGTGGTCATCTATCCAGGTCTTATAGGTCAAACACTTTCTTCCGGCGCCTCGTGCATGCTACGCTACGCTTTCTTGTCTACGTATAAAATGTACCATAGTTCACGAACTGTAGGTACTGCATTTCATCCTATACGTACCTAATCGTTCTTCTCTCGCCCTTAGTTTCCCATGCTTACCATCGGGAAAAGATGTAGGTAATATACTATTTCCTACACTCGTACAAGAATCCAAAATATTAATTTTGCATGCGAAATGTAGTCGTTTTCGCGTAAAAGACAATTCATTTAAACGTAATCTATTAAAGAAACCAAAATATTTGATGTACCATGAAAATTACATCCCCCGCGATCGAGGATTCCAGTATAAACCAAATTTTGCTAAAATATTAGGTAATTTGAAAATCAAATCAAATCTGGTCTACCGGTACAGTCAGGTTGTCGGATCGACTGCAACATATTTTTAAAATTTAATGTGGTTGGTGGCAATTTTTATACAAATTGACGCAAACCCTTATAGGTACGAGTATAAATTCTCCAGACGGATGGAATTCACGCAGGTATATTCGCTGTATATTTTCCATGAAAATGTGCTTAAAAAAGCGAATTGATACACGCTACACATCAGATGCTGTGCTGTGCTAATCTATCTACTTAAAAGCAACAAGTTCAAACAAAAGAAAGATCTCTTGGAGGTTTATTGAGCAATTTAATGAATCATACAGGTAGAACCACTTATGACGCAGGCAACGATGAAAAGTAGAGACAATTCAATCTGATAATGAATAATAATAAATAGTGGTAAGTGGCCGGCACGGAATATATGATGGTGCAATAGAAATTTCAAAAACTACGTGTGGTCGTGTGCTATTAAGATTGTCGAAACCACTAAAAGATTCGATAAATTTTGTGCAGATACGGTTGTTCACCTGAGCTTCCAAATGTAATTTTAAAAGGATCCGTTCATGATATTAACAAATTATCCTGTGTACACAAGCAGAAGTGCGTATACGAGAACGTACCTTCACTTATAGAAAAGATCATACTCTGTATTTATTATAGGAAGGAACAGAGTAGGGCAGTGTACGGTTGATCTCTTACTAAAACCAGATGCTGAATCATAGTAATTGTTTTTCGAAAAAAATATTTTAGTTTTTTAACTTTCGACATTTTTTCTCCGTTTTTTTGTAATAATACCCAACATCATTTTTGTAGATTGTACATAGAAAAAGAAAGTCGAATAATTTATAAAATATAAATAAAAGTCCCTACTTTAATTTCTGAGTCAAGTAACGGCATTTTACTGACGAGTTTTGTATTAAATTTTATACATAATCGTCTTTTTCGATATGGAATTTCAATTTTCATATAGGAACTTTTACCCAAAATCGTCTTGAAACCTTCAGTTTCATTCCCACTTTCTGTCCAGAAATTTTAGTTTCCATGACAGGTGCAGAGCAGACTACGTTTCCTGCCGCTTGTCACTTTACTGTCCGCATCGATTACTTTACCGGCCGCACCGCACCGTCACTTTACCGGCCGCATTTGTGACATTTCCAAATGTCTATGATGACTCCTGTCATTACTGACAGATTGACATTAATCAAAAGTTCTATATAAAAATTGAAATGTTATACTAAAATACGATTTCGGGTAAAATTTAATACAAAACTCGTCAGTAAAATGACATTACCTTACTCGGAAATTAATATCAAAATTTCCTCGCCCACAGTAATGTGTCATTTTTCTGATTTATGTAAATAACTACTGATTAATGTCAATCGGTTACACAGAGATGGCAGGAGTCATAGACAATACTAATGTGACAAATGCGGCCGGAAAAGTGACAGGGCGCAGGGAAAGTTGTCAGAAAACGTATTACTGCTACTGTTATGGAAACTAAAATTACCCGACATAAACTAGGCATGAAAATGGTTTCATGACGATTTCGGTTAATGTATTATATTCAAAGGTTTGTGGTATGTTTAGCACAACCCATCAGTTTGGGGGACGCGTATGTCCATATCATTTTATGAAATCGCTAGGTTTTTATCACCATTGGGCTATGAAAAAGTCTATTTTGCATAGCAATGTCTATTTTGCATAGCAATGTAATAATTAAACTGCCTATATGGGAAGCATATTTCGTAATAATTTAAACATGACAAATTGAGATAAATAGTAATAGCAATATAAGAATACGATCCATTTATTTGAAATATGAGTTCTTGCGGATTCAGAGCTCAATATAAGCAAGTCACCTTTTTTTTCTTATAGGTTCCATCTTTTTTGTTAATAGCTGTGTAGGTTTCTTTAAATAAATAGCATTGGCTTCTTAAGTTGTTTTAAATTAAAGCCGATTGAAAATTAAATATGTTTCTCATAATATAATAATTGACTCTGCACGATATTAATTGTATTAAGTGTATTTGTTTACTTAGTGCAATTTTCATAAGTAAAGTTATACTTATTAGGTAATTTACATGTATCCGTCTTCGTGTTTAAACTACTCTTTCGATTTTGAAAAAAATCGAGATGTACCTATAGATATTTTGTGATTTTTAGCTTCCTTTCACTGTTTTTTGGACATGTCAAAATTTCATCAAATGTCGATGTTTTAAGAAACGAGTAGATACCTAATATTAGAGACTTACTTGCTTTAAAACTCGATCCCTTTCCACTTAAACTTAATTTAATTAAACACCAATAGAAACTTTTTGACCCACTATGCATAACCGAATGTAGAACAGAAGAAATTGTATTTTTATTTTATAATGCACGGACTTAAATTCAAGCCTCAGACCTAAGTTAACGCGAGTTAAGTAGACAAAAATACGATTTTTTAAGTTTTTGTAATGTTGTCTCTATCGAGTAAAAATCCAATATGGCTTCCATATAAAATAAGAAACTTGATTCGCTCGAAATTTTCGTTATTTTCGCACCCTCAGATAGTAGAGAAAAATTACTAATGGTTTGTCAAAATTATTTATTCTATTTATAATATAAATGGAATTTTATTATTCTGTAAGTTTATTAAGCGCCTGAACAACGCGACGCAAGCTTTATAAGTGAGTCGATGGTGTCCGTCTGTCCGCGAATACGATAACTCCCAAACGCTTGGGTGGATATGCCACTTGTAACAAGCCTATTGAAAATGGGACAAATCATTGAAAGAAGAAACGGTAAAGAAGCGCAACTACAGTGAAAAATTGCCATACATATTCCCCATCTCACTCGCCGAAGCTTCCCGCTCTCCGTTTATTAGACAAGGGGCGCACATTTGAATTGGAACACTTACAATAAAAAAATAAATAAATATACACCGAAAATCTTTGAAACTGGTCACTAAATCAAGCACTGTGAATTACGAACTATACAACCTTTATATATCCAAAGAGTTTTGGTAGAAATATTCATTTGATTGGGAAAAATCTTACCAGAGCCACATTTCCAACATTTTTCAAATTTTTGCCAGTCGTTTTCCCAACGAAATTACTTCACAAAGAAGCCCATAAAATATTTTCATTGACATCATAAATTTACCACAAAAATATCAAATTATTTTCTTGGCAGTTGAGTCAAATCATTTAGTCGTTATTCTCAGTAAAATTAATACCAACAATGGAATAAGTTTATCACCAAAATTAGATTTAAAAATTATAATAAATTTCCTATAACATCGAAAAAATACAACGAAAGTTGTCAGAACAGAATAATCTTTTGTAATTCTAAGAAAATGATTTAAACCCCTTCAGAAATAGAGTAGCAGTCGAAAGGCCGAAGAACTGTTTCCATAAACTTGCTAATAAACTTTTTATTAGGTAGGGAACACCTCCGCATAAGGGAAAACAATTTGGACAAAACAAAGTTCATAAAATTTACCAATTTAAGAACAAGGTTTGTTGTAAAAATTCTCCTGCTCAATCAAATTTTTAAGCGATTACAATATTAAACGAAAGTTAATTTAATTAGTCACAATTTACGAAATATAACTTACAAAGTAAAAAAAAGTACCCATTGCTGGGCTATTACAAATATATCTGCAAATCATTTAACCACTTTTATTTTGGAATTACTAATAAAAGACGAGATAAACGCCTACAAAGTTCTTGACATCAAAACATTTTCCACAGCTTTCTCTGCATCTGCATATGCAGTTAATTGTGGGCATGCCAGAGCTGCAGCATAGACTTGCCAAATTTGAATTTGCTAATAAGAGAAACGAAGATGAGTTTAGCAATTCAATTACAGGTCAGGAAGACTCGATATGTCCCTTGGTGCGATTGAATAACCACTTCCAGCATTGTCCGGTGCGCATTCTTAAAACAAAGAGCGATTAATATTCGCTTTCGCTGTTTTCATTGACTTTTAGGAGTAATTGAAAAGAAATAGTGAAAGAATTAGCAATTATCCTTGATTTTAAGATCAGACCTTCAGTCTTATAAGAACCGGGAAGGAAATGGATCGTTCCTGATTCAAACTGAACCATAATTTTGAGTTATCTCATAGGTGTTACACCAATCAGTCATTACATAGTCCGTTATGAATAAACTAGGTACACTATTTTCTAGATAATAGCTTCTTATATAATCTCATTTCATTTTTCTAATTATGAAATGTATGCAGTGAAAGTATTGATAAAGGTAAGGTTTACCAAAAATTTTCATTTGCTAAGTAGTACTCAAAAATCGTTTACATCAATAATTTGAAAGTTACAATTAATTAATGAAGACGAACAGATCTAATTTCCATGTTATTTGTGTAAATATAACCTTGAGGGGTCGTAAGGATATTAACCAATAATGGCATTCCTTTTGCACACGTAAATTTCTAATAGGAATGAAAAGTCTAAAAACGCTTGAAATTCTTTACCAATGCAGCTAGGTATAGAGAAAATATATTTACCTAAAGTAATATGAAAGGTTAACTTCTTTAAGTGGTAGGAGGCAAAAAGTGGCCGTCGAAGTGTAATGAATATAAAATATTCTTACTCGTACAACGATCCTAGATTGGTCGACCCTCTGAAAGCAAGCTTTTAAATAGAGGAACTTTATGCAAACTCCCAGTCAGTTGGCACTAGAAGGTGGACATTGTTTTACCTCGTTTCGGTTCATTAATTAGTTTAACGCAAGTATTGTTATACCTTTTAAGTGAAAATGAAAGTTCTAGTGGTTGCGGTTTTTGCTGTGTTCGCACGTAAGTATACTCCACATCGTTGTTCCATAAAAAAACCTACCTACAATTTACCGATGGTACCTAGTTATGAGAAAGTTACGCAACACTGTATCTTAATTTTCTGGGGGTTTAACAGCGTCTAGCTGGCGTTTGGAATTTTGCATGTCGTTGACATTTAATTTAAAATATTCAAGTCGTGCAAGAGATTTTGAAATCGCTTTCTCATGGCCCATCCTACGACCGGTTGCATTATGGATATATTACACCTTTCACTTTTATGTAACGTTGTTCCTTTATAGATGCACAACAGTTTAAATGCCCCGCAAAGGATGGCTTCTATGAAGATCCAGTTCAATGTGATAAATTCTACGAATGCTACGATGGAATTGCGACAGCGAAACTTTGCCCAGATGGTCTAGTCTTCAATCCCGCCATCAGAAAAATCAACAAATGTGATCAACCCTTCAGCGTTGAGTGTGGAGATCGTACAGAACTTCGTACGTAACTTACTCCGTTGCCGGTCGCTTGTAACACTCTACTTTTAGAACCGGCACAACCTTCGGGATTATGTCCACGAAGAAATGGATATTTCTCCCATCCCGATCCGAAAGTCTGCAACCTTTATTATAATTGCATCGAAGGTGTGAGTACAAAGCAGTCTTGCCCACCGGGACTTCATTTCGATGAATTTACTGGAACATGTGTTTGGCCCGAGTCGGCCGGGCGTGAAGGATGCGATGCCGGTGAAACGAGTAAGATATGCTCACTCTCTTGGGAATTGTAAATCAACCTCTATTTTAGTGGTACTCAAGGATGGCTTTAGATGTCCGAAGGAAGGTCAAACTGACTCAAATGGACAGTTGGTGGTCCATCCAAAGTTTGCGCATCCAAACGATTGCCAAAGGTTTTATGTTTGTTTGAACGGAGTGGAGCCCAGGGATTTGGGATGCATAATTGGTGAGGTATACAATGAAGAAACGCAAAAATGTGATGCCCCAGAAAACGTACATGGATGGTAAGTGATTATACTGAAGTTTATTCGTGTGTTCATTCACTCATTTCAGTGAGGACTGGTATAAAGAAGAACAGGTGCCAAAATCGCCGTTAAGTAAGAAGCCTTAGATATAGTTGATCGCTGTGAAATTTTATACTTTACCATAAGCTTAAATTGTAATTACTATCAAACCAAGAATCTGTATTTATTTTTCGGTACGTTCAGTTCCGTTGTATGTATATTCTTAAGATGAAAATTGTTCCTAGTCTGTTTTCGCTTACTTTAAGTGTAATTAAATACAGAAGAAATTACGCTCATCTTGTTTAATGTATACCTGACGCAAGTTTTGAAATTCTAGGAACTCTGCCTTAAAGTGGTCACCAAATTTACATGAAATTCCGAACAAGTTTTAAAAAACAACTAACCTGTATGACAACTATGAAAAATGGTTGAGTAACTTATTGCATTTCGCATGAAGAATAGCTAGCCGCGGGCGAAAAACTGTTTACAACTTTCTTCGACATATCTATAATTAGGTACTTCAGCTGACAGTGCTTGATTGGGTGTGCAGTCAGTATGTTCATTTCGGTGGTAATTTTTGTGGTGGTTTGCTTTTGCGGTTCGTATTTTTTTGTATTTTAAATGACCCATCGTTAATTTAGCTTTACAGGGGTGTCAGCCCAAGATTATAGATGCCCCCAACGTACGGGTTTTTTTCCCGACCCTGAGCAGTGTGATTTATACTACGTGTGTTCGAAAGGACACGCTGAGCCTAAACTGTGTCCGGATGGTTTGGTTTTTGAAGACACCGATCCTAATCACGAAAGATGCGATATTCCCGCCAATATTGATTGCGGTGATCGTCAAGCACTACGTAAGATTGTTTACCATTCATTTTATTGTGTTTGTTGCGTTGCCTAATGCATTTATATTGAATACAGAACAAGCGAAACCAAGTAAAGGTTGTCCGCGCGCGAATGGTTACTATAGGCATGATAATCCATTAGCCTGTGACAAATTTTACAATTGCGTTAATGGAATTCCTCATGAACTTCCGTGTCCGCCTGGATTAATTTATGACGACGTGCGAAGTACGTGCGCATGGCCACATGAGGGTCACAGAAAAGACTGCAGCAAACCAAAGAAAGGTAAGAACCAAATTACCACATCATTAATAATATGTTTGATAATGGTGTATCGTGTATTCCATGAAACTAGATACTATTTGTAGGATACTTTTTCTCCTCCCTGAGCAGAAGTCTTTCATAACACAGAATCTAATGCAAAAACCGCACATTTTCTGAGCCGTTTGCTTAACCTGGTTCAATTTCCATTTTCAGCATAAATACCAGTTCGTTAATTAAATGTCCTAATAATGTGCACATGCAGTGAGAAACTGGTAAATTTTCGTATTCGTCAAATATCTTGAAAACCACAAAGTAAAATTAAATGTAAGTTAACATTTGCAATCCACAAGACTTTGCAAATCCCAAAAATAATGCCGTAAATGGAATGTGAAAAAAGGCCCTTAGCTTGCTTAAAGACCCTCATGTAGAGCAATGGATAAAGAGTTTGACAAACTTTTTACACAAAAGCGCATAGTAGCTAAGTTTAAAAAACTCATGCAAAATAACATACACAGGATAACTGAAACGGTCGATTATCGGGGAGAAGATATCAAAAAATTCGTTAAGCCGCTTGTGAGCAATATAAGTCTTCCCGAAAATTTTGCTACCCCGCGCACCTCTGTACGATGAAAAAAAATAGATTTTTTATTATACCTGAATCACAATCTCCGTTTTAAACACTCAAATGCGTGCGAAAAAGGGCCTTTAAAACACACGTGCTTTAAAGTTGCTAAGTAACGATACTTCAAGTATGACTTTTGAAACTGTCATCTGGATGAAATAAAAAATCCTCTAGGTCGCTTTCTGTAAATGCAGAACATTTCTTTTGCTTTTGTACCTATCCTTTGGTTGAAGCTTTCACAAACGCGCGTAATTTAGGGTATGCTTCCAAATCTGTTCCACTTTTTAATCGCAACATTGCTTTAAAGTTTTGAATGAATGCACCAAAATATAGAATATTTAAATACCTTTGACATTTCCTTCATATATGCCAGCATTATGGATGCATTTAAGACTATATTCGTAAGTAACTTCCTATTCATCCATGGAAACAGCTTTTCATATTCTTTATAATAGGCTTTACTGTAGTTGGATTTTACACCTACCAACGTTTGTTTAGATTTTACAACAATCGATTTAATGGACGGTGTATTATCTTTTTCAACGGAAATCGTTTAATTCACAAAGACGATGATTTTTATAAGCAAACGTCAAGTGACATTTCCATGACAATCGTGAAATTACGAACACCCAGCCCACTTAATTAGCATGTATTCGAGTATAACGTCAATATGACTTCATTGTATTTCCTATTTTTAAATTATACTGCAGGTATAATAAAAAATACTATAAGATACACGTGTATAATTGGTCTTTAAAACACTTGCAACGTTAAAGGCACTCCGCTTTGCGTCGTGCCCTTAAACTCGTTGCGCGTGCTTTAAAGACTTGATTATACACTTGTATCTTAATATACTATTTCATCCCCTTGAAAAAGAGGTGGTTTTTTTCAGAAATCGTGAGATCTTGGAAACGGTTCAACTTTATGGGCCCAAACAATTATCTTCTGTTTTATCATAAAACAGGCTATGTTACCTCCAAATTTCAAACCCCTACGACATTTTTTCGCAAAAATAAGAATAAAAAACGAAAAAAACAGTTTTTCCGGTTTTTCTAGGAAAATTGGAGGTTATGTGAAAATAGTGCTGATACAAAAGTTGCTCATTTTTTTAATCTCTATAACTTTTACGTTTAACATTTTCGTCTAAAATCAATAGTTTTACCACAATTTGCAAAATACCACTTTCCATCCCTTTCAACCCCCGTGATTTCACCCGCGGAAAAATCCAGCTGTTTTAATTATTTTTTCCCAAATTCTATTCATTCCGCCTGCCTGAAAAACCCGGTTTCTCCCGGTAACTAATTTTTTTCATACAAAAATATTATATAGCCTGGACTAATATACAAATAAAGTGATTCTAGTTATAATCTTATGAAGACGGTCGTACTCAACGCCTCTCTTTCCCATTATCGCTTTCTATGACCTGCAGAAACGGGAGGGGGCTAATTTTACCCCCGAACCCATAGGGGAAGTAATTAACTATTTTTTTTTTTTTGTTTATTTAAGGCGTCGACTACTTGGTCATTAGCCTATTGTAAATACTGTATAAATCACAACATGTCGAATATATTTGCAGACCTTAGGTATTTTATTACATTTTTAAGATGTTGTGGCTGTTTGAGTATTTCTCCTACTTCATCTATTAAATGAAAAGATTGCCTGATGGGCTCCAGTACCGGACACTCCCTTAGGATATGTTCAACAGTCATTTGATTACCGCAGCGTACACAAACCGTAGGAGGCTCCCCGCGTAACAGATGGGCGTGCGTTATTTGCGTATGACCGATTCTTAAGCGGTGGATTTTCACTCGCTCAATCCTACTGAGAAGTAGTGGTGGTCTCCATGGTTTAGGGTGTACTAATGCTGCTCTTAAGGCTGCTTTTAGGTCCAGATGCCTCACTACCTGAACGTCCACATGTCTCACTCCCGTGGCTCTTTTAGCAGCTTCGTCTGCCATCACATTGCCACGTATACCAACATGGCCAGGTACCCAAATCCAAAATATGCTTTTCCCAACCTCGACAACATTGCTGCAAACAGCCTGAATCCTTTGCACTAGTGGGTCCCGAGGAAATCGAGAATTAATACTATTTAATGCGCCCTGGCTATCACTTACAATAGCAAAGCTCTCCTCTGTATTGCTCATAAGGCAGAAAAGCAGAGCTTGCCATATGGCATACAGTTCGGCACTGAAGATGGTGCATGAGGAAGATAGAGTCCACTCATGTGTTTCGCCATCTACATAGATGGCACATCCCACACCCGATTGCGTCCGCGACCCGTCCGTATAGATAGCCTTAGGGCTATGATACTCTTCCATAATGGCGTTAAATTTCCTTTGAAACTTTATAGCAGATGTGTTCTCTTTCTCAAATTCGGTCAGAGCAAAACATGAAACGATCTCAGGAACCATCCAGGGGGGAACTTCTCCAAATCCTACAGGTAATACTGTTGGCAGCCCAATATTCATCATTCTTAGTAGTTCCTGTGCTCGTACCCCAGTAGGTCTTGTTAGTGAAGGTCTATTCTCGTATCCATGACGATCTCCAAAAAATAATGTATAATTAGGGTGATTTGGCTGAGCACGGATCCCTACTACGTATCCGCACAGGAGCCGATCACATCTTCGGAAGAGAGAAGAAAAACCAGTTTCAGTGTATAGCTTATCCACGGGACTGGTTGGAAACGCACCTATACAGTATCTCAAACCGGTATGATGTATAGGGTCTAGTTTCCTCAGCGTCGACTTGCGAGCCGAGGAATAAACCACGCACCCGTAATCCATTTTAGACAGAAGAAGGGATCGATGGATATCTAGCATAGTATCGGGGTCAGTACCCCACTTAGTACCCGCAAGGGCTTTAAGGATATTGGTGACCGACTTACATCGCTCAATAAGACTATTGATGTGCAGATTCCACCTTAGTTGGTCATCAAATATGAGACCTAGGAATTTGATAGATCTTGTTATTGGAATGGGGTTGTTCTTGAAGAAAAGGACAGGATCGTAGTGCGGTCTCCTCAATCTACAGAAATGGATGCACTTTGTCTTTTCAAGCGAAAACCTAAATCCTGTATTTTCCGCATTCTGCACTATTTGATTTATTGCGGGTTGCAGTTTCCGTGTGATTTGACCAATGGACGCTCCCGAACAAAAAATTGCCAAATCATCAACGTACAGGCACCTTTTTACATTGCAGTCGATATTGGCCGCAATATCGTTGATGGCTACCGCAAATAGCGTCACACTTAGTGGAGATCCCTGAGGGATTCCATTTTCAACTACCCTTGGCCTTGAAAACGTGTTTCCACACTTCAGTCTGAAACTCCTATTACCAAGATAGTCCCTCAAAAATAGAGGTACTATATTATTTATTTCTATATTAGCGTTACTTCCTTTGTAATGTTTAGCACAAATTCTACACAATATTGCCATTTCGAATTTCATTTATTAATAGTTATTAAAAATATTAAAGTTGTCTAAATTCTCTAATGCTAATGCTTAAAAGGATTCCATGCATTATAACATTTTCGCACATTATTTAAACTAGAATAAGGAATAATAATAAAATAATTCGGACCCCTAAACTTGCCTTTAGAATTTCTCAGCCTTGACTGAAACCCAACCGATTTAAAAATAAAGACCAAAAAATAAAAATAAATAAAAAAATTCGTCCCTACATAGGATACTCCAGTTTGCATCTTTTTTTATGGTTTTAACCTACGTGCAATCTGCACAAAAGTTTATGTAACTGTTATATAGGTGGCCATATGCCTACACCGAACAGTTCTTCAAATATCTGAGTTTTTTCGAAATTTTTTTAAAATGTAGGTACTTCATCACGAAATAAACGAAACCGATCCATTATGTTCAAGATTTGCTTAAATAAAACTCTTCAGTACAATTTTACATTAACTTTAGTCTAAATTTACCGTAAAAATGAATTCAATTTAAAACAAAGACGTTTGAGCGAATGTCTGGTCAGGTTTACCTACCCGTAAGTGTTATAAAACTAAATATATTTTAGGTGAAACCGGTTTATTGAATAACCCTTTCAGAAATCTATTCTCATATATCAGCTCGTCGTGGGACATCCTGTACAACTTTTAACTCAGAGAACATTTGTCCCACAATACAAGCCCCCGAAAACTTTACCCCCTCAGTGTTGTCCTTCAATTAAACAAGCGCTCGCAAGATTCCCAAAATTTGCATTCGCCTACGCTAAAAATTACCCTCAGTGTTTGATGCGTGATCCTCGACCAATTCGCAACCGTAATATTCCACATGGAAAAACGTACCCCAAATTCTCTTTCCGTATAAGAAATGTTGCATAAAAAATACCCTCACCAATTCTCCCCCGAAATAATCGCCCTTAAAGAAACTACCCATGCTCGGAA